TAATGGTCTTTGCATTATGTTTGAGCCTAGGTTGATGATTTGGGACCAATAGCATATGGGAACAATTTTAATCAGTCTATTGTCATGGCATATGAATCTTAATCTTTTATTTGGACTAAAACCAAAGGTTGAACGTGACTAAGGCAGGGCCTTGACTTGTTATTACATTAATTTAGGACAAGATGGCATCTTAAAGTCTAAGCATCTTGTGCACTAAATCTGGGTAAGAGGTCATTTATTAAATACACATTGTATGAGAATCAGTATATTCAATTTTTAACAACTAGCAAAACCCCTAAAGACAAAGTATGCAGTGTAAGAAATACAGCTTTTAATTCTAAGAACCTGCAATATCTGAAAATGTCCATAACACTTTCTCCAGTACCTATTACTGAACCCCCATGGTTCCATCTCTCCACAGATTTTATAGTTGACATGCTTGCATTCAACAGCTTTACCACCATCCTCATGGTAGTTGACAGAGTTTACAAAATGGCCCATTCATTCCTCTTTTCAAGATGTCTGCTGAGATAGCCAAGGTGATTTCCTGTGAAATAGTTTTGGACAGTGGGAGTCTGTTTATTTCTCATTTTGTGGTCAATTTTTGTGAAGAGACAGCCTTCCAGCACTTGCTCTTTCCTGCATACCATCCCCAAACCAATGGTACTGCCGAGAGGTCAAATCATTGCTGCCTTGGGTAACCACGTGGCTGAACTGTGGGCTTTATAGGCGTTAAGAACCACCAGGACATACTACTCCAAAAAGGACATGCAGCCTGCAGGAACAGTGAGACGTCTACCTATCAGGTTAGAGATACAGTATGGTTGTCCAGTCAGTAGATTAATCTCTGGGTTGCGTCTACCAAACTGGGTTCCCAATATATTGGGCCTTATCTCATTAACTGCAGTGGCTTAAAAACCTTCCAGGAAATCTCTGTGTTACTTACACACTATTTCTCACCTCAATCCCTTTGAAAAGTAACTGCTACTTAACCACCACCTCCAGTAACTTCTCCATGAGTAACCCAAGGTACAAGAGGTGGTTGGTTCACATATTTCTAGAGGCAGGTTGCAATATCTAATTCATTGTAGAGTTTTTGATGAAAGGTCATGGAGTGATGCTGCAGATGGTTAACGGTTTCCCACCTAATTTCCATCCACTTGGGCGGTTATTTTAGGAGGTTACTGCAAAGACAGTGTCTACATCAAAATGTAGTTTTTCAGGCTACTTTAATAACCCTTTAATTTATTATAAATGTATAGAACACATTCAAAATGTCAGTTACTGTATTTTGGTATTAATATATATATATATATATATATATATATATATATATTTTAAGGCTGTTTGGCCTGTATTTGTGGGAGGGGCTTAAATTAATTCACTCCCCTATATATGCGACCCCCCTTTACCTGACTCCATATCGCTTAAGATCAGCATCAGAATGATTTCCATTTCCGGGTCATCCAGACGCCATTTTACCTGATTACTCCATGAGGTTTTCTAAGCTGAGCTGTGTCAGGAATCCAGCCACAGGCTTTTCCGGCCTACCACCTTCTTTCTTCAATCCATCGCCATGGATGGTGTCCAAGGGAATCACAAACTGTAAGTCGACCTACCTGTTACGCCAGGCATCAGTCCCACAGCACCATGCACGGGTCAGGTCCTCACTTTACGGCTGCATTTTGTCTAAGTCTGTTCTAAAACCATTGCATGTTCAACGTCCAAAAGTCAGTCAGCAGTCCCTCCAGCTTTTGGAATTTCAGCCTCTTTTTAGCAGTTGCGATCTTTATTAGTGACCCTCGTATGACGGTCCTGCCGTCATATATGCTGCCCATATTGTCTCCGGCTGCAGATCCGGAGTGGTGTTGCACCCAGATAACTCTGTCAAAACTATGCTCGTAGACATAGCAGAGGTATTCACGGACTTCTATAAATTCCTATACAATCACTCCCCAAACTCAGAGACGTCGATGACGAGACGAGGACGCGACACGCAGGTTCCTTGATGGCCTTGGACTGCCCAAGTTACCACAGGACGCGGTTGATACACTAGCGACTGAAATCACCCCGGACGAAATAGACCGGCCTATCACCGCATTAAAAGGGAATAAGGCCCCTGGTTTTGATGGTAGTTACTACAAAACATTCCGAGAAGAACTCATTCCTCACTTATCAACAGTATTTAATTGGTTCCGGACGGGAGGCACACCGAACTTAGATATATTTTTAGCTACCATCGTCTTACTGAAGCCCCCTGCTTCTGGAAAGATATAGGCCCATATCCCTCATAAACAATGATATGAAAATTCTAGCGAAAGTACAGGCAGAAAGGCTAACCCCTTCTTAGCGAATCTGATAGATGCTGACCAAGTAGGCTTCATACCGGGTAGGGAATTATTTGAAAATACCCACAGGAATATATACCTGATATGGAGGCAGATGGCACACAGACCCCAACGATGTTAGTCTCCAATGACGCGGAAAAAGCGTTCGATGGAGTGAAGTGGCCATATCTGTTCACGCTCTTGACCCATCTAGGTTTCCCTGAAAAGTTTATGGTTTTGCTAAGGGCTATGTATAGCAATTTCAGAGCACAGGTAAAGATCTCGGGGGCCCTGCTCCGTACTTTCCAGCTTTTCAATGGTACTCGACAGGGGTGCCCCCTCTCGCCCTTTTTGTCCGTCTTATCGCTAGAACCCCTATTACAGGCCTTGCAGCACCACCCGAGCGTAAAGGGAGTTGACGTGGGAGGCAGGGAATTTCTGGTCTCGGCTTATGCGGATGTTGTTCTCTTAGCGCTCACTGACCCGGTGAACTCGATGGGGGCCTTACAGGAGGTGCTAAGGGACTATGGGGCTATCTCAGGCTACAGAGCTAATGGAAAAATTTAAATAAATAGTACTACCTAGTTAGACAGCCCAACTTGGAGTACCGAAAAATGGGTGAATGGGATGGCAAAAGGGCATGACCCTATAATAGATACATAAAGAGAAATAACAGAAATGGAGAATTGATCGCCTCATAGAGAACCGGGCTGATCATCTCCAGGCCACCCCACAATGTCTCAAAAATAATAAACAGTTTATTGGGAAAAAACCTTATTAAAATCAAAAAGAGAAAACACATCTAACCATAAGTCAAGTGAATAACTGGAGCCCAATAAAGACAGAGTATGGCCGATGTATATATGTACATATAGTATAGTATGGTATGTCAGATACCTATAGGTAAAGTATAGTACATATATAAGTACATACAAGCCATAGATTGTGCACTATAGGCCCAATACAGAATATAAAATATAGCTAAGTTATAGATACCGTACTAAGATAATAGGTAATATAAGTATCTGTACGGAAGAGTACCTACAGTATTAAGTATGAAAAGCCATAAATTCTGCACTGAAAAAATCACTAAAAGAAAAATATATACTAATCTCTGCAGAGTATGGCTAGCAATGTCAAAATGTGGCAAAATAATTATAGAGTGAAACAATAAGTAACAGTGTAAGCCACAATAGTAGCCTAAAAACTCTGCTGCTGTACCTACAGGGTTAAATATGGAATGGAAATCGAAAGGATAGAGGAGGCATAAATGAAGGGAAGAAAATAAAGCAGAAAGACCTAATTGTAGATCTATATACAGAAAGGCTAGGTCTGAGAGCCTAATCCCAAAGAGCAACCCCCCCTAATCACTAAATAAGAGAACCAGAGCTTCAAAAAACGCTCGGTACCACTAAACCAGTGATGGCGAACCTATGGCACGCGTGCCACAGGTGGCACGCCGAGCCCCCTCTGTGGGCACGCGGCCATAGGTCGCCGGAGAGAGGGAGGGTGCGCTCCGCCGGTGCATCCATAAGGCGGCACAAGTGGCCGCCTTAGGGCGCACGGGCCCGGCGGGCGCAAAGCCGGAGTGACCGGCAGGAGGTGAGCGCATAGCACTCCCTCCTGCCAGGCACTCTGTGTAGCGTGGCCGAGCGCACCGCGGTACAGGAACTTATGTTTCCTGTACCCGGGCGGACGGAAATGAAGTGCTCACAGAGAGAGCACTTCCTGTCCGCCGGGTACAGGAAACTGAGCTCCGCGGCGCTCGGCCACGCTACAAGGTAGGAGCTCAAGGGGGGGGACACCTGAGGGAGAGAGGGGGGAAAGGGGAACCTGAGGGGGAGGGGGGGGACCTGAGGGAGAGAGGGGGAAAGGGGAACCTGAGGGGAGGGGGGGACCTGAGGGAGAGAGGGGGAAGGGGACCTGAGGGAGAGGGGAAGGGGAACCTGGGAGAGAGAGGGAGGGGAACCCGAGGGAGAGATGGGGGAGGGGACACCCGAGGGAGAGATGGGGAGGGACAACCTGAGGAGAGAAGGGGAGGGGACACCTGGAGGGAGAGATGGGGGGGACCTGAGGGAGAGATGGGGAAGGGGGGACCTGAGGGAGAGATGGGAAGGGGACAATCTGAGGGAGAGATGGGGAGGGGGACACCTGAGGGGGAGGGGGGACCTGAGGGGAGGGGGGGGGGACCGAGGGAGAGAGGGGGGGAAGGGAACCCGAGGAGAGAGGGGGAAGGAACCCGAGGGAGAGAGGGGGAAGGGGAACCCGAGGAGAGATGGGGGACCTGAGGGAGAGATAGGGGGGAAACTGAGGGAGAGATGGGAGGGGGGAAACTGAGGGAGAGATATGGGGGGAAACTGAGGGAGAGATATGGGGGGGGAATGAGGGAGAGATGGGGGAAAGAAAACAGTGGGGGGGGGAGAGAGGGGACGACATACACACAGCACCCCTGCCCTACACATATCACCCCACACAAACACACACACATCACCCCACACAAACACACACACATCACCCCACACACACACACACCACACAAACACATCACCCCACACACAAACACATCACCGCACACACAAACACATACACTGTACCCCTCAATGCAGTGTGTGTATTTAGCAGTCTGTGTGTGTGTACTCGGCAGTCTGTGTGTGTGTGTGTATTTAGCAGTCTGTGTGTGTGTGTGTGTGTGTATTTAGCAGATTGTGTACTCAGCAGTCTGTGTGTATTCAGCAGTCTGCTAAATACACATACAGACAGACTGCCGAGCACACACAAAAACTGCTTAATACACACACAGATGTTAATTAGTTCGGACAACTGTATGAGTTGTTTTTTCTAAACTTAAACCTCAATATTCAGGTTTAATTGCCGTTTTGGCACTTTGAGGGGAAAAAAAATTGGCATGTATTACGGTTTGGGCACTCTGGCTCAAAAAGGTTCGCCATCACTGCACTAAACCATAATGTAGGAACACAGAAAAAAACAAAATAAACTAAATTAGCTATATAAAATAGCCCATAGCCCAACGCGCGTTTCGGTGGATTAACCACCTTTCTCAAGGGCACAAAGTGTAATGAGGCAAGCAGAGCAATCCCCCCTTAATCAATTTAAACGTTAATAGTACCTCCCAGTTCATCTGATTCGGCTTCGTCGCAGGGTAGGCGGGACAAAGATAGCCGCGCATACCTGTCCACACGCAGGCGCGCCGACTTAGTATCAGGCTGAGTATCAAGCACAACCGCGCATGTCAAGAAGCCGCGCATGCGCATAACAAAAAACCCGATTAGAGTATATCGGTCCATGCGTATGTGCGAATGTGTATGAAATGAACTCAACATCCACAGTGTTATACTTATGCCGATATATATAACAAGTCCCAAAGGGACGAAGTGCTACAATAGTAGCATACAGACAAATTAGGTAAAGGGGATAGAAAGTACAAACAGCATATACAGATAAATAAATAAATCAGCAAACAAAAAAGAATGACAGAAGAAAAGATAATATATTAAGTTCCCATCATATTTAGAGTTGATCACAAACGTATGTTATACAGAGACAAAAGAGTGGTATTAGAAACACTAATAACTAATTGAATAAACTAAAATAAAATAAAATAAAATAATAATACTAGGCTGAAAGAAAAAAGTATAAAGTATATACATAGTTTTATTCATTATCCAATGATAGTATACTAAAGTACAGACAACAGAATCCCTATCAATCTATAGTTATAATCTATAACTATATTAGATTGGTACAGGGAGGTGTATGTAAGTATATATGTATACATAAAGCATACATGTATATATAAATATATATACAGTGTATATTGTTCAAAGAGGCAACCTATGAGAAGCGGATTATATGAAAGGGGCAAAAGAAAAGCCCTCGTTAAGACCTAGAGGTTGGAGTGTCTTAAGTTTGTATATCCATCTTGACTCTCTCTGTCTTAATATTTTATCATAATCTCCACGTCTCAAAGTCCTTTTAACCAACTCCAAACCGCAAAACCTAAGATTATTAGAATTGCCCTGGTGGTGTTCTTTGAGATGTCTCGATATGGGTGTCTCGAGGCAATTTCTAGGAGATCTCACATGCTCCATAATCCTATCCTTAAAAGCCCTAAAAGTTTTTCCCACATATTTCTGTCCACATGTGCAAGATAATAAATATACAAGGCCCTTCGTGTTACAGTTGAAGAAACTTTTGACTTGGAAAGAATCACGTCCCTGGCTGTCCTTGATAATCTTAGAGTCCCTCTGGATACATTTGCAGGCTACGCATCTACCGCACCCATATGTTCCAACTGGGGGAGTACCAAGCCAAGTGGCGCATGGTTGTGGTTTGATGGAGAAATGGCTAGGAACCAATAAATCACGAATATTCCGTCCACGTCTGGATGTAATATTAACGTGTGGGCTTAAAGTATCTTTGAGATGCACATCATTGAGCAGGATAGGCCAGAAACGTTCAAGTGATTTCCGAACTTCTGGCCATCCCACATCAAATGTTGCTATCATACGGATATTTCCAACGTCCTGATTAGTGTCCATTTTTGGACGATCGTACAGTAGCTCACTCCGCTCAGTCTGGAGTGCTCTTTTATAAGCCCTTTTTAAACATCGGTTTGGGTAACCTTTCTCCTTAAAATTTTGCCGAAGTTGTTTCGCCTTGATTATAAAATCTTGAGTGTCACTACAGTTTCTCCGGAGGCGAAGATATTGTCCTACCGGTATACCCTCTTTGAGGGGACGCGGATGGTGGCTAGTCCAATGTAAAAGGGAATTAGTTGCTGTCGGCTTCCGAAATAACGTGGAATGGAATGTACCGTCTTCACTGATACTGATAGTGACATCAAGGAAATTTATAGAGCGTCCTCCGAATTCCGATGTGAATCGGAGGTTTTCATCATTTTGATTGAGGAGTGTCACCATATCCTGAAATTCCCCAGGAGTACCTTGCCAGACAATCAGGATATCGTCGATATAACGACCCCACCACAGGACCTTAGATGGGTGTCCACTTAACTTGTCTGAGTGGCGCACTTGGTCTTCCCACCACCCCAGGTGGAGGTTTGCATATGAGGGGGCACAAGCCGTCCCCATAGCAGTACCCCTCACCTGGTGGTAGAACCGATTATTAAACAGAAAGTAGTTGTGTGATAAAATGAACTTAAGAAGGCGTAGAAGGAAAGTCGTATAAGGGTCATCACTTGAAGTTTTTTGAGTAAGAAAAAAGCTCACATGATCAAGACCTCTATCATGGGGTATAGATGAGTATAAGGATTCAACATCCAGACTACATAAATGGACGGTGGAAGAGAATTTAAGGTTAGCCAATTTATTAAGTGCCTGTTTAGTGTCCCTGATGTATGAGGGTAGAGTTTCGACAAAGGGTCTTAGAACTTTATCAATATACAGGCTACCATTTTGCGTGAGGTTATCGACCCCAGAGACTATGGGGCGCCCAGAGGGGGTCTCTAAATTCTTGTGGATGTTTGGCAGGCAGTAGAAGGTTGCTATCTTTGGGTGACGAGAGAGAATAAATTCAAACTCGTCACCCGACAGCAACCCCCCACTGCGGCCCTCGTCCAAGATCTCTTTGTACATAGAGAGAAAAGCATCAGTGGGATCTTGTTTAAGGACTGTATATGTCTCAGTGTCCTTTAGGACTAGTTCCGCCATTTCAAGGTATTTTACCACATCCATCACAACGATATTTCCCCCCTTGTCGGCGGGTTTAATGATAATATCAATATCATCTTGTAAAGTTTTTAAAGCACGTTGTTCCCGGCTATTTTATATAGCTAATTTAGTTTATTTTGTTTTTTTCTGTGTTCCTACATTATGGTTTAGTGGTACCGAGCGTTTTTTGAAGCTCTGGTTCTCTTATTTAGTGATTAGGGGGGGTTGCTCTTTGGGATTAGGCTCTCAGACCTAGCCTTTCTGTATATAGATCTACAATTAGGTCTTTCTGCTTTATTTTCTTCCCTTCATTTATGCCTCCTCTATCCTTTCGATTTCCATTCCATATTTAACCCTGTAGGTACAGCAGCAGAGTTTTTAGGCTACTATTGTGGCTTACACTGTTACTTATTGTTTCACTCTATAATTATTTTGCCACATTTTGACATTGCTAGCCATACTCTGCAGAGATTAGTATATATTTTTCTTTTAGTGATTTTTTCAGTGCAGAATTTATGGCTTTTCATACTTAATACTGTAGGTACTCTTCCGTACAGATACTTATATTACCTATTATCTTAGTACGGTATCTATAACTTAGCTATATTTTATATTCTGTATTGGGCCTATAGTGCACAATCTATGGCTTGTATGTACTTATATATGTACTATACTTTACCTATAGGTATGACATACCATACTATACTATATGTACATATATACATCGGCCATACTCTGTCTTTATTGGGCTCCAGTTATTCACTTGACTTATGGTTAGATGTGTTTTCTCTTTTTGATTTTAATAAGGTTTTTTCCCAATAAACTGTTTATTATTTTTGAGACGTTGTGGGGTGGCCTGGAGATGATCAGCCCGGTTCTCTATGAGGCGATCAATTCTCCATTTCTGTTATTTCTCTACAGAGCTAATGGGACAAAGTCTAGCGCTCTCCCATTAGGAGTACCAGTGACAGAACGACTTTAATACAAGCTACACATCACATACGCTTAGAATACCATACTCTTAAATACCTAGACATTCGCCTGACAGTGAAACCAGAGAAGTTATACGACCAAAACTATACACCACTGATGAAACAACTGATCTGGGAGATTGAGACGTGGGTGGACAGACCTTTCTCGTGGATAGAAAGAATTCTTGTTCCAGGCGCTGCCTATCCGCGTCTCCAGATCACACTTATAGCCCCTTCGGCAAGCTATTGGGTCCTTTGTATGGAAAAATAAGAGGCACAGAATTTCGAGATATATCTTATACAGGCCAAAGACAAGGGGGGGGACTGGGCCTACCTAACCTATATTACTATTATACAGCAACTCAGCTGACGCAGGTTGCGATGTGGCACACACACCCCCTCCCCCCCCCCAGGAGAACGGAAATGGGTGGATGTAGAATCCCTCATGACAGGAGCAGACCTTCCGCAGCTCCTCATGTGGGTGCCTAAAGAGTATAGACAGGGCCGTCTTTAAGGAGGGGCAAAAGGGGCAGCTGCCCCGGGCCCAGTTACTCCTGGGGGCCCTAAGGCAGCTGCCCCATGGGCCCCTGCAGCACCTGAGGTAATCAGGGGCCACAGTCCTTTAATACTGCTCTGGACCAGGCCCTTGTAATATGGGGGTTGGCTGAATACAAACACACAGCTAGCCCCTCACACACTGCCCTGTGATCCCTTTTCTTCTCCGTGGCATGCTGGGAGGAAGTGAGGTCAGATCACTTCCTCCTCAGTGCCGCTGGGGAGGAGGCACACACCATACGGAGGAGGATGCAAGCATTGTTGGGGAGAGGGACTGAGAAAGCTGATGGCAGACTCCCATCAGCCTGGGCCAACAAGCTCCCACTGGTCCCCAGGGAAGCCACCTTTCTGTACCCAAAGGTAAGGAGACAGGAGGGTGGCTAAATATGTTTTGTTTTTTTGTTTTGCTTATTTCTGATATCACTTTTATTCAAGTGTTGGTGTTTGTAATGTAACACATAGGGAATAAGTACATGTTAAAAATCCTAGAAGAACCTGACAGTTCCCTATTAAATATAAATTTTAAAAGTATTTATTTTAACAT